TCTTGCGCTTTCTGGATTGACAGTGAGAGTGAGTGGAGTGGGGGGTTGCTGGGATTTTGGGAATGAGTGCCGTTGCAATGCAGTGAGAGCCTAAGCTAAAAATACCTATTGACACATAGACTCTAACAAACATGGTGAGCGGCAAACAGTCACACCACCCAAAACACACAGATGCACATGTGGAAAACACTTTAGAATGTTAAAAAAAGTGATGAAAATATAAAATATCGCTTATTGGATCTGTAAAATCTCTGTGATGTGAGTTATATACGGTTTTTAGGCTATCTGAGCTCATTCTATCACATAATAGGTGGCTTATGGTGGTCCTGTTGTGGGATATATCCTAACGCTGTTTGATGCTAATTTATTATGTCAGTACTATTGTGTGCCAGTTTAGTTTGGCCTCTCTGACTTGCCGTACTGAAAGCAGAGTTTAGATTCGAAGACAGGACACCTAATACACTTCACTGCCATCGCCAGCACCCAACTCGGAAGCAGACTAGAAACAACTGCCTGTTCATAAATTACACCGGCGTGTGTGTGTGTGTGTGTGTGTGTGTGTTCCTGAAGTGCTGAGCGTACTGAAATAAATCTAGGGGAAACTCCTGTCCACATATATACAATAAACACTATAAATCATTTTTAAACTCAAAATCATGAACAAAATTTGTTTATGTAGCTGAGTAAGGTCCTCTTATTAGAGTTCTTCAATCATGTGGTCAATTCGTAGGCCAACCTGGAAGGCTAATTCGCTAAATCCGATTTGAGGTATGACACAGAGAGGCACCTCACAGTAAAATATTAAATATATACAAAGGTAATGCAAGGTTATTTCTTTAAATTTTGACTTTTTATCTCTAAATATGACTTGATAGCCTGAAATTGCAACTTTATTTTTCACATTTGTGAGTTTATTTTTCAAAATTGTGACTTGTATTTTGAAACTATGACATTATCTCTTGTAAATGCAACTATTTTTCACAATTGTAACATATTACTCAACGTGACTTTATATCAGCAATGGTGAGTTTATTTCTCGTAATTGTAACAATTGTAAAATTATTTTTGTTTTCCACAATTGGGACTTTATATTACTCGAAGACTTTATTTTTATGCAAGTGAACAAAAAATATTTTATGCAAGTTGTGCCTTATATTTTAAAATTGTGACATTATTTCTTGTAAAAGTGACTATTTTTCACAATTGTAACTTTATAATATACAACTGCGAGTTTAGTTCTCGAAATTGTGACATCTTGCAATCGCAACATTATTTCTGGTAAATGCAGCTGTTTTTCTCAATTTTGACTTTATATTGTTCACTGTGACCTTATATCATGCAATTGCAAGTTTATTTTTCATAATCGTTACTTATATCTTTTCATTTTTAATTTATTTATTTGTGTCTGTGACTTTATATCACGCAACTGCGAGTTTATTTCTCAAAATTGTCTGTTTTATTTTTCACTCAGAAGCAGAAACAGGCTTCCATATTATAACTTTCATTTAATGTATGTGGTATAGAATATGAAAGCCTCTTCAGGCAAGTTAACAGACCTTATTTTTTTTTTATCCACAAACAGAACACACCAATAACCATTTCAAAATTCCATTCTCATGTCTGTAAAATAATTAATCATGGTCAAATATCACTGGAGCCATAAATATTGTGGAGCTACAAGACCAGTGACATTCCTAGGATTGCTGTGCCAGTGTTATCAGTTCCTTCTGCATTCCTAAGGGGGGTGATATAGAGCCTGCGAAGTCAAGAAGACCACATGCCACCTCTGCATTTCCTTCAGATACTGAAGCACACGACTCCATACTTCCATTTATCATTCAAGATACAAGCTTCATTTTTTATTTTACTGTGGAGGATATTTAATCAGCCAGATATCCTAAACTGGGAAATTCTTTCATGTGACGAATGGTATGGCTAACAGAGTTTGCAAAATCGCCAGATGTCTAAACATGCAAATTAATGCCAGTCAGGTTAGAGATACAGTATGTGTCTGGTTTCTGATTAACCTCTGCCTGACCTATTGTGTGTTTACCATTATTCACACTAATAAAAACTCTGAGACTTTGTCTCAGTCAATACCAGACCCTTGATTATACTGTTTAAAGCCAGACTGGTTTAATAGGACTAATTCATTCACTCTTTGTTGATTAGTGGTTTAAAGGGTGTTGCAGGCTGGTTATGAACGTCATTACACTACACTAATGCAACACATATGGGCAGCACAAGCATGACCAATGACTCCTGTTATAGACCACAGAATTTAATTTGGATAATTTATGAGGTCACGGTTGAGTGAATTATGAGAGTAGCGTGAAGCTGACTTTGGTTACAAAGGCAAATAGTTGTACACAATCTACAGGAAATTAGTGAGCTGTGTTTTACAGCTTTACAGAGGGGAAGATTATTTGTGTTGGTTATTATGAGCAAATTATGCTTGTGTGAGGCACTGTAATGTATCCAAGTCACGCCCGAAACCACAAGCCTGTTAATAGTTTTCCCAGTTTAATTAGAAACGGATAATAATGTAATCCACATGGAGGATTTTACATGACTTGTTTTTGATTGTGGCGGAATAATCAAATTAGATAGGAACGCTTCATTGTCTCCATAATGCTGCAGTGTTTACAGCTGGGAAATGATGATTAGTAATGTCTTAGCTGATGTGATGCAGTGCCGTGTGACCTCATGGCCAGTGATTGTCAAAGGTTTTATTTCCGAAGTGTGTTACTGTAAAGCTCACAATTAGTACCAGTCAGAAGTGTGGACACACCTACTCATTCTTTATGATTACTATTTTCCACATTTTACAATAATAGTAATTAAGATTATGGAAAAACACTAACTGGCAGCACAGAATTATGTAACGAGCAAAAATGTTTAAACAAATCTTACATTTTGCTTCTTCAAAGCAGCTACTCTTTAACTTGAGAACAGCTTTTTAGAAAAGGCATTCTCTCAGAAAAATGAGGTAACCAGTTGCTTTTCTAACAGTTTTAAGGCTGGTTCACACAGAACAAGTTTTTGCGTTCTACGCTGCAGCTTTTTAACTGTATTTCTATGTAAATGTGGTAAATAGACATTTGACCACTGTGTTGAGATTTCAGTGTTATTTATAACCCTATAAAGCCTGACATATTAATTTATAGCCAGAAAAAAAAATTGTTTTTGGAACAGTATATATACCAGGTATTATACCTTTAGACACAAACCTTTAATAAATAAATAAATAAAAGTTTGCATATGTTTTTTGTTGTCATATCTGATACTTCAGGCTTTTATGGCTCATATAGTATGATACAAAATATGGAGCTCACACTTGTGGAGGACAAAAACACCTCAGTTTTCTGACTTGCCAAAACTGGGCAACTGTGCAGTTGCTGATATTTATACTGCAAAAAAGATGAAATTCTGACAGTTTGTAAATCAATGAGACCTTTAGCAGACTACTTACATAAAATGCATATAAATATCATGTCACGATATATCTCTCAATAATATGCCTTAGTAAAATGATACGTACAGTAAACGCAAAGATTTATAATCAAAGCTCTGTAGTTTGTATTGTGGAGGCAAAATATATAATGCAATGCAATACAATGATGAGAAGTGCAGAGAAGTACAAATAGACATTCCTCAAAGGCCTGATGTATCATATTTGATACATTTTAACCTGATTTTTCTAGAAAAAAAGTGTAAAGCATAAAGTCGTGTACATGACCCCCGTTTTTAGAATTACACTAAAAGGCCTTTTGCTTGCTAGATTGTGTACAATAGGTTTTTAAGCAGTTTTGATCGTGTCAATAATTTAGGGGCCTTAGAAATTTGTGTATCAAATATGATACAGCAGGCTTTATAGGGTTAAAGTTGGCATGAAATGAAAATGTACTATTTGTTTTGTAAATGCATGTCATATATCTTATTTTGACTGTATAATGTCAAACTATTTTCCAATGAAAATTAGACATTTTTTGTGATTGCTTTAGATGTTAATTTGCTATTCTGATTATTTTTATATTAAAGTATACATTTCTAGTCCAAATGTTACTTTCAATTTATGTTTGCCTACATTATACTTTCAATTACATTATATTTTCATTTACTTTCTGACATTGTTTGTAAAGAGTTGCTCTGTCCTCGTGCAAAAATACTGATCGCAAAGAGTCAGGGGAATGTTTTTATTGCAGAGGGCTGTTTCTGTCAGTATAACAACATTTCAATAAAGAAAGAATGATCCACACACTATCACCCAAACAAAGACACACCCACATGAAATCCCTAAGCAAGGGCATGCAGGACTGGAGGCTGAAAAGCAGGAAACCAGCACCCTTGTATAGGTATCTCTGCACATCATCACCATTACCTGAGTCCTATAGCAAAAGTGCACAAACTCCAGTTCTTCAAAAATAACCCATTCTCTAACAAATGCACTTTTAGTCCAAAACAACATGACTCCAAAATCTTTGAGTGGCTTGTGTTAGTGTGCACTTACAATGTGTGTTACCCAATCTCACTTTATTTACTGGAACACTTGTATCAGGTTTTTCTGATATCTCTGAAAACTTTGCATAGTCTAACATTTTGTGGCATAAATTCACTCCCACCACAACTCTAAACAACAGCCTCACTTCATTACCCACATAATAAACGTATATCTGCTCAGAAATGAAAATATTCAACAATAAAAGACTGCTGGCTCTTGCGTTAGAAAGTGCTTTGATTGTCCATAACTTCTCTTTATCAGAATAATCTTCTGAAGTCAACAGCCTGTTCCTGGCCTCTATCACTTATCCTCAAACACGGCTGGCTGGTTCTGCCCTGCATGCAGAGGTTTGTTGTACTGACATTGAAGGTAAAATACATTCGCATGGGCAACTCAGTTTGAGGTCAAAGCAGTGACCTCTGACCTCACCTGACCTTTGGCATCACTGCTTTGAGATTGACAATAAATCAGCGATTGTACTCATCAATGTTTATTTAGCAACACTGATTGTACAATCACTGGTTGTATAGACATTCCTTCTGCCCTCTCAAAAAGGGAAAAGGCTGCATGCAGGAGGTACAAAAGGTTTCAATGCATTCTGATGATTTTCTGATGATGATAAATGAAAAGCAGGGAAGATACAGAGGCACAGAGAGGCTGAAAAAACACAAAACCAGCAAAAATAGGTAGAATGGGGGATTTGTTGTCTATACGATGGGCTGTGTAAGTACACAATGAGTGTCAAATGCAAAATAAATGTGTAGCGTTTAAATTCAAAACTTTATACAGTCCTTTGATTGACACGTTGCAGATTGAAATAATATAGTCGTATAGAGATCAGTAATAAATAAAAAAAACTGGAATGCATGAACATGGATCTCATTCCTCACGCACACTCGTTCTCTCCCAGCACACTGAACATGTTGAGAGTGAGGCCCTTCCTGTCAGCCTTCACGGTATCATCTTCATCATCCCCATCAGCATCCTCATCATCATCGGCATCTCGATCGTTGTCCTCCTCCAGCTCTGAGCTGGATTCACCCTCGTCATCTTCCCTCTCACCACACTCATCCTCTTCATCCTTTCTTCCTTGTAGAGTGATGATCTCGGCCAGTTCTGGGTGTGATTCCCATTCATCTGAAGAGATGGTTGTTTTATTTCAATTTATTGCCATATCATCTTCACAGGTTATTACATGGCAGATACAGACTCAACATTCAACAATATAATAAAATAAATGCAAACATTTTATAAAATTAACCATGAAAAAAACTTTTTTTTTTTTTTTACAAAAGTCTTTCCAAGTTTGCCCTAATAAAGATGACATTAAAAATTGGGCAAACCAAAAACATATGTTAGTGCTACAATATTCTGAAGACTCCGAAATTTTAAACACCAAATCTGGTCATGAGTGGCGGATGATATGAGTCATAGTGGTTTGACCTCTGACCTTTACTCTGAGAGTATCCAGGTGGTTGCAGACAAAGACACATGCGTCCATCAATGGCTAAACGCAGGAGACTGTTGGCTGCTCGATAGGCATCGTTACGGGCCGCCTTAGCAGTTTTATACCCTCTCCTCTCGGCCCAGGCTAAAAAATACATGAAAAACATACGTGACTGAAGACAAACCAATAAAAACAACTTTTCATCTCTCCAAGTTTCTTCCTCCAGTCGAATGTTAAATATGAATTGAATGATGCCATTTCAAAACAGGACAAGCACCTTCACACACGTCCCATGCTGTCCAGTCCTGTGTGCTGGGGTTGTGTGGGGTTTCTGGGCTGTGGTCCGGATGTGTCAGCTTTAATACAGGCAGGAAGTTGGTCCGTTCACACAAATAGCCTACTGAACTGTAAGGCTCCTGCAGCTGGGACACTGGATATATACCAGCCAGGATCTGTTTGAGAAGATAAATAACACATGCACACACATAAACATAAACAAAACACGGACTGGATGACTTAACTTTCATAAATGATACAGTATCATGCAGTTTTTTACCTGTAGCTGCTTGTCCACTTGGGAAGGGAAGACAAGCCCAGGACAATCACACAGTTTAACAGTGGGAGTGAGGTAGTACGTTTGGAAATATTTAGTGTGACCTGGGGTTCGGGACACACTCACGACCTTCCTGCCAACCAGACTGTTTAGCACTGAAGATTTGCCTACATTAGGAAAACCTGGAGAAAGTGCAAAAAGTCTCCAGATGAATTTGAAACTAATAAATGAATTTCAATTTATGCATCAAAGAGAAGATACTTCATATAAAAGATATATTAAAGTGATACTGATATAGAACAATACTTCTTCAGTTTTGGAATGAAATGGAAATTATAATCGTCTTTTCTTTATTGTTGTGAAATGGAAATTCAATTAATTTAAAGTGAAATGGCCTCTTGAATGGGTAAAAATGTAGGACGGGACTTGATTTGGTCCATTGCTGTCATTTGCTAATTGCTGCTAATCTCCTGTGAGCGACAGCTTGCAATAAGGAAGCAATTATTGTCCTGCCACTGCGCCAGTGCACGTTATGAGAAAAGAGATATTGAAGCGAAGGTGGGGGATGCTAATATTTCTGATTAAAGATTACGAGGGCACATTCATTTTTAAAAATAATGATGTGAACAGATAAATCATTTATGGAATAAATGCTGCAATATTCCATAATAAAATAGTCTCAGTTTTGATTTCATGGTGACAGGCTTTTACCTATGCAGCCCAATGTTAGTACTCCATCTTTATAAAGTTCTTGCGTGGGGCTGTTCATTTCCATGGCAACGTCACTATGATGCTCCATCAACACAGATTCCGATCCATCATCAGCCTGATCCCCCTCTGTTCCCACGGCAACAGCATCCCTCTGGATCTTCTTCTCCCAGCTACTCAAATCCACTATAAACAACAACCATCATCATCATTTAATAATCCCATGTGTTCCAGTACTGATATTTTGCTGTCTGGGAGGAGGCGGTCTCACCTCTTCCTGCTGTGATCTCCTGACATGCTCTCATGATGTGGATCGGGCCTCCAGCATTCCATCCTACTTTCTTCCTCATCCTCTTCTTCTGTAGAACTGCAGTTAGTACAGATGAAGGAAGCATTTTTATTCTTATCCATTTGTTTGATCATATTATAGCTAAAGCACTGATACTGGAAAGACTCTCTCACGTGTGCTGTAGGGTTGTCCTGGGTGCGAGGTGAAGCAGACACAGTGCATGTGTGGGAACTGTTTAGTCAGATAGTGTTTCCATGCCAACACCAGAGGGGAGGGGCACAAGTCCACCTTATTGAGCACCAGGATGATGTACTTCTTTAACTCACCGGTGATGTAGTGATACAGAGCAGGAGGAAACTGCAGCACCTACAGACAGAGTGATTATGTTTGCTTGTACTGAACGCCAATGATGACTCAACTATGAGTACTATACACTGTGTCTTCCACACCATCCTTCTTTTGCTAAAAATGTATATAACAATACAAAAAGTGCTGTTTTCTGAGATTAAATGTAATACAATCTTTGGCCCCACCTAGTGGGGATTTTATTACGTCAGTTTGCATAATTTGACACTCCCTACATTTAGTGTAATGGCTATGCAATTTTGATGATCTTTTGAAAACTGCTAAAAGTTTCAACAGGCGTTAAAGTCGCACACTTACTGGGTATCTGATATCCACTATGAGGAGAATGACATCAGACATCTCCATTACTCTCCACAGCTGCCTCCATGTCTGAGAGAGAAAGAGTCAGTCCGTCAGCAGTAGGAAAAAAAACTAAAATGAACCGATTTTTAAATAGCTGTTATTTGAAAGAACACTATTCAGGCTGTCTGAATTTCAGTAGTGAACCCTTAATCTGTTATTCGTATTCAAGTCAAGTCAAGTCTGCTTTATTGTCAATTCTTCCACATGTACAGCACATACACACAGAGAATTGAAATTGCGTTACTCTCAGACCCTTGGTGCATACAGATAACACTAACAGTAGAACATAAATACAGATATACAGATTAAATATAAAATACAACTATACAAATATACAAATAAGGTAAAATGTAAAAATATATATATAAAAAAAACAGTGTGATGGTGCTGGATGTGTTGCTGCCGACCCGAACTGCCTGAGGTCTTCCAGTCAGAAAGTCCAACAGCCAGTTGCACAGCGAAGTGTTGAGCCCCAGCTGGACCAGTTTGGGGCTCAACACTTCGCTGTGTTGAGCCCCCAAATTAGCATGTTGGCTAATTCTTTTGGATTAGCCAACATGTTCTTTGTCCTTTGGCCAACTTTAGGTAAAATAATGACTCGAGAGGTTTTTGGCTCAGCCATTTTATGGTCTCCTATTGCTACATTAATCCAAAACTGGAGAATTGGAGACTGTTAAAAACAATGAATTCACTGTGATGCAATACTCTACTCAGCTAAGTGGTTGAAACATTCAGATGCAAGTTCATGAGTTCTTAGAAACAATGCTTTGTCTTAAAATTATCTGCACAATATTGTGGTGCTTCTGTTGTCTGCTGGCTATTATAAACAAACAGGAATCATAAAGCCTGTTTTAATAAACTAAATATGCCTATTAATTAGTATTACACATTTTACTGTTGAAAAAGTGTTGCTCCTTTTGCACTAAGCAAACACAACAGTTTTATGTGTCACATAGCTTGAGAAAAGCATCGGCTCATAAACCAGTGAATTTGAACACTTAATAGTGTTTGCCTCCAGCACTGTCTGGCCAAACACATGCTCAAGTGCAATAAAAAAAGCTATTTCATTACAGCTATTGACTCAGCAGCAATCAAATTCTGGTTGAAAAAATGTTCAAAGTACTTCAGTTGTGTGTTTTGTAACAGAACATGCCTCACCTCGAGATTGTGCTCAAAGTGGCTGAGGGTACCGGGTGGGTTCTTGGACTGAAGAGCCTCCAGATACTCCAGAAATGACTTCTCCTCTTTCCGCAGTAACTCCTCTCGTTGCATGTTGTAATGCCATGAGGGCCGCCGTGGGAAATTCAGTCCTGTTATTAGACAAAATGAAAGTGAAGAAAGACATAACATGGACCAAAACCAATATCACAGTAAAAATCTAAAGAGTTATTTTTACTAGTAGTTCAATGACAAAATGGGTAACATATAATTATAGTACATACATTATATACATTACCGTTCAAAAGTTTGGGGTCAGTATGATTATTATTATTTGTTTTAATTAATACTTTTATTCAGCAAAGATGCATTAAATAGATGGGCAGTTGTGACCTAATGGTTAGCGAGTCGGGCTTGTAACCCAAATGTTGTGGTTATAAATAATAACAAATAATGTTACTAAAGTTTTCTTATTCAAAATAAATGCTGTTTTAAGTAATTATTTGTATTTTTATATTCATAAAAAATCCTGAAAAATGTAACATGATTTTCAGAAAAATATTAAGCAATATTATACTGTTTTCCCCATTCTTACAAAAAATAGAAATTGAGCACCAAATCAGCCTATTAGAATGATTTCACTGAAGACTGGGGTAATTCACAGGAATAAATTAAATTTTAAAATATATTAAAGTAGAAAACAACTATTATTTTAAATTGTAAAAATATTTCACAATATTAGTTTTTCTGTATTTTTAATCAAATAAATGCAACCTTGGTGAGCATATAAGACTTATTTAATAAACATAAAAAATGTATCAACCCCAAAATTTTGAATGGTAGTTTGTATGCATTTAGTGTTTGATTTTTCAGTTGTTTAGGCAAAATAGTACAGAATTTTAATAGAGCAAACACATCTCTTGTTCCCATTAACAGCAAATGGATGTAAACAGACATCGACTCATCTATTTGACAGCAGAGTCAAACTGTGCACTTTTTTTTTTTGACACAGATGCTGCAGCATCTGATGGTGTAATTGTGAAGGTGACACTTTGGCTAGTTTTGTGAAGACAATTCCCTCAAATGTAAAGTTTATTATCATAACAGTATGTCACCACTTTAAGTTACACAGTAGCATAAATACCTTTCTCTTCTGGGTAGATCTGGTTCATATCAATCTCTAGTTCCTTTTCTGCCACCTGCTTCAGGATTTTCTCCCTCGCTATTTTTTTCCTCCTCTCCACTTCCTCCTTGCTCTCCTTCTCAAAGTGCAGACGGAATCTGCAAAACAAGCCATTATAAGATTAACAAACAGGATGATACATGCCCCTGCCAAAATATCTCATGCTGAATTAATAAGACAAGCCTGGACTGACTGTTTCACCAGTCCCTCCAGACTCACCTGTTGGGGTCATATCTGCCGTCTCTGGTGCCAGGCTGATGGTTGATCCTCCTGATGTCTGTCGTCTCGCTGTCTGATGTATCCGACTGTCTGTCTCTGCCAGGTCCTCTCTCCACACTGGCATTTCGGCTACTGTGACTTGAACCGGTTTCTCCTGCACACACAAACACACACACACATTCAGAAACTTGTGTTTCTGTTTTCTGTCTTGACTCTTGAATGTGGCTCCAAAGCAAAGTAATGATTCCTGAGGTTTTTTGTTTCTGTTTGTTTATTTTTTTTAATTGTACACTATTTACTGTGAAAAACATCGTGTACTTCCAATCCAGGGTTTCTGCAGGTTTTATGAAGGTAAATTTAAGACCATGTAAAAAAAAAATGCAAGGAATAAATTGAATGGAACACAATAAGTCTACACTGCCCCTAAATGCAAATGTATTCTATTAGCAATGCTTCAAAGTTTGAAGAGACAACTTCCAACAGATCTCCATTACTTTTTAATTCATTTTACAAATAAAGGCTACAACCACTAGAATATGCAAGTAGCCTAACTTTTACTGTACTTTCTGATCACACTGCAATAAAGTGATGTTCTTCCTATGTATTTTGTCTTTTTTTTCCATTGCAAATGTCTAAAGATTCTTAAATGAAAATACAATGGGCTAAGAAAAATCAACTTAATTTAATGGGAAAACATTTTTCATACTCCACTTACAGATGTTTGTTCTTGTTTTAAGCATAAACTCATTCAAACTCATTATTTATTTTTTCAAAAAACAAGACTTCACGTTCAATTTGCAACTCAAGTAAATGTATCTTGATTTAAGGATGTTTTGATATTTCTATTGTAAAACAAATAAAAAACACTGAGGAAGATTTTATATATATATATTTGTTTTTTTGCAGTGCATGCAATATTTAATGCCATGACTTCATGAAATTAAGACTTCTTGCTCTGATTTAAAGGGGACATCGGATGAAATTTTCACCTTTTTTTTTTTTGGTGTATCTGCCAGCTCAGAAAAGCTGAAAAGAAAACAGGCAATCAGTTTGTTTTGCGCCATCTAAAACTGTCATCCAACGTGCTGTTTCAATATGCTGCCGGTTTCTATGTAGATAGCGAGTTATTCGAATAAAACCATCTCCTAGCCAAATACAAAGTCCAAGGCAGTGCTGACACGCCCCACAGAAGAGAGGGGTGGGGTGAGCAGTATCTCATTATCATTTAAAGAGACATGCACTGAAACGAGTCGCTGTGAACAGAGCTCTTTTTGACAAGATAAAAAGGGTTTTGTTTTACACGACCCTTGAGGAATTTTAACCAAAGTAAGTTACAGACATTTCATGAAGTAAAATTATAATACCAAATAATTATACCAACTTGTGAAATGGGCATCTGATGTCCCCTTTAAGAACCTTCTTTGAAAGCACAAATGAAGACTTTTTAGGACCTTCAGAACCCAGTCATATCCCTCCATAAATAACACTGTTGCCATTACAGTTCCTATGAGAATAGTGCAGTGTGCTTTACACTGATGGCATAATTATGCCTTTAATGCTTTCACTAGTTCATCTGCACCTATTTTGGCTGTTTTTGCTGTGTACTGGACCCGAATACTTATAGAACTGCAAGCGAACAGCAGTTAATTCAGCCTGCTTTATTGTGTATCGATCGCTTTGTTTTTGTGTTACGTAACTTCACGCCAAGTCTGCGCACTTATATACCGCATAACACAAGCGCCAACTACAGCAAAACACGAGCTGCTCAAAATGCGTATCACAATCCCCTCCTTTCACCATCAGTTCACTGTTCCCCTCCATATCAAGCTCATTATGATGTATTTATACTGTTGCTGGAGTTGAAATTCAGCGTTCCTTCTTATTTGCATCGCACATATAAAAATGACAGCAACGCGCTGCTTTGTGCCTGTCAAGTTTGGATACATACACCCGCAGAAGCTTAGCAAACAAAAGTAGTTACAGCAGCGTAGCAGCTCAATGAATGCTCTAGTATGTGGGAAGCTGTTCACATCACTGCACACTAAAATATAAATCATAAAACAATGCATCACGTGGCTAATGTAGCACGTCTGCGAGCGCGTTGAGCTCGTCTCGTGCTAACTCAGCTAAGCTAGTTACCCACCTCTCTTTTTCTCGCGTTTCACCTGGAGCTGCTTCTTTTTCTGTTTGTTACTAAAAGGCTTTCTGCGTGGCATGTTCACATTAGTCAAAAGATGAAAATAGAAAGAATGCGCGAGGACGTATCCTCCTTGTTCCCTTATTATTTACATTCGTGAAGTTTCTCCGTTACTTGCGTGGACTTTTCTATAACGGGGGTAGACGGACGCTACCATTATGATCTTCAAGCATTCAACGCTAGGCGTCAGAAATACATTTGATCGACTGTTCATATGTTCTCTTCTTTTACTGCCCGTTCACTTTATGCGACTTCTGTTTACAAAAGAAAAACGATAAAGCAGTAAGTAATTTTGACCCCCATATTTTTGACTAGTGGTGTAGTCTGTAATATAAATGAAACTGACTGTTATACAATGCAATGTTAGAAACACCTATATATTTTTATTTTAAATGTAAGTATGATTAACTACAAATAAATCTAATATTATATACAATGTTAAGCACAAATAATGTTTCTGTTTCTTTGATGTCTGACAAACAACTGTTATACATTACATGAGGGAATTTACAAATAAATCTTATTAGAAAAGTTCAAAATCTACAAACCACAAAGAAAGTAACTTTATTCTGTAAACCAGTGAGGGTCCTTGTTAATAATATTCTATGTTCTTACTTCATGATTTAAGTATTATAAAAGGCAATTCTACTTGCTATTGTTATAAATGAAAATTGTTATTGAGAAACCCAGGTTGCCAGTCTGTAAATATGGCAAACTCCTGCTATAAAACGAGATTATCACAAGGAGGAGGCATGTAAGAAGCAATAATTTCAGATGCTTTTTTTTAAATATCTTGTTTAAAGGGTTAATGCACACTAATCTGATTTTGTTCATGCTTAGAGGCTGTTGCATGTTAACAGTTATTTTGATAGTATAACAGTACTTACAATAGAATATTATATATTCTATTAATGTAATAATGTAATATTACATGTCATCTGCAAATGGAAATACTAAACAGGATAATTTTTACAATAAAAACACCATCTAATAAGATATTTGCCATCGACATTAGTTGACACACACATCTTTTTGTCCTATTTACGGTTGTCCTTTACTCATTCACACACACAATACATCTGATAACCAAATGTGCTTTTGTTTTACGTATGTGACTGCAAACAAATTTCCCTTTAAAAAAAACAAAACAAAAACAGACCAACAATTCCCATACACACTGTGCAAGACTCAATATTTCCGTTCTTATTGACAGTAACAATAAGAATGTTGACAATGCAGTCAGTGATTGTACCAACAACTACAGACGCAGACCATCATACAAACAAGATAAACCAGAAATTTCACGAAAAGACTTGATATATGAGCTGGGTACCCACTGAAACAGCAAGTCTTCAAGGAAGGTTTTGGGAGGAAGATCAGAATTACAGCAATACATGTAAAAAAAATGGAAAGGGGGAAAAAAAGTACAAAAGTATGTTTTCTTCAATTCTGTCCATTTAAATCCACTTGCTCCTTCATACAAATAAAAAGGTATCAAGTAAGAAAAGTCATTCTATATCCACAGCTATATGTGGATCTCGTCAATTGCAAAAGTTTTTTCTAACCTCCAAAGTTTCATCCCTCGTTCCATGGGATTCCTCATGAGTTTAGGTGTTCCACCTGTATGGCAGAAGCCTCCACAGTGATGCAGAGGTCTTTGTGAGGGGAGATGTCAGATACACTGACAGTTTTATACTGCACATCTGCAGAAGGTACTGGTTTGTATTGGTTCAAGTCGAATATGCACGGCACACCAACCGGCTGGATGAAGGCATTACTTCTCTCAGCTTGGCTTTGCGCATCTCTATCCGAGCCGGTTCCTCCTGCGTGACTGGGGCTGTGACTTTGTTGGTTTGATCCGGGTGGAGACGGAAGCATACCAGGAGCGTGTTTTCGCATGTGCTTCATCAGATATGTTTCCTAAAGACAGAGAGAGAGATACATATTAGGATCAATTTGAAAAAGAATTGGGAATGCTGCTGATTTATGGTTTGAGATGTTTGTACCGAGGTATATGTGCGGTTGCATAAACCACAGGAGTACAGCTTGTCGTGCTTGACTGTGTGAGTGGACAGATGAACCTCCAGGCTGGCTGCATCTACATAACCCCGGTTACAGTGGTGACACTTATACGGTTTGTCCTTGTTGTGCTGACGCCGATGAGACTGTAAAAGATTGAGAGAAATAATAAAGTGACAGTTCACCCCTTTGTCATTTTGGTTTTACTATTTTGCAAGTTTTCTGAGCAGTACAGCCAAACTAATTTCCCCATTTTAAAAACAAAGCCTTACAAGGTGACAAAATATAAAATAAAAAAGAATGGCAGACATTTAGGCCAAAGTGGGCGAAGATAAAAATCTTTGTTATTATAAAATAAGAACAAAGATACAAATTACAAATACACATATTAAAACAAACAGTGCTTTAATTTTCAAGAAACGGAATGAACAAATATAAAAATAAAAAATGTTTCTCTTTGTGTTTTGTTGTTTTATTAACATTAAAGTGATAGTTCACACAAAAATGAAAATTCTGTTATCAATTACTCACCCTCAGGTTGTTTTAAACCTGAATTAGTTTCTTTCTTCTGTTGAACATAAAAGTTATTTTGAAGAATGTGTGTAACCAAACAGTTTCTCAGAAAAAGTGCATGTCAGAACAGCACGTGAATTAAATGTTTAACCGGCAAGGCTTTAAAGCACATGCAAATCATGTACTTTTGTGATTGCGAAGTGCAGTGTCCCGTGAGTGTAACTCTACCACTGATTTAACACTTGATGTGAATGTAGGTCGCACTGTACAGTATATTGAGATGGAGGCACCAGAACTGCAGCTGATATAATGTGCGCTGTAGCGCGATATTACGATATTTCTTCAAAAGCAGATTGTGGAGACATTTTAATCGTCCACGATAAAAAATCATATCGCACA